CTAATCTAGGTGATGCTGCTGGAGCTGGGGGGGTTGCTTCTGAGGGAAGCAATCTCAGAGATCAACTGATGTGGAATTATTTGGCTTGCGTGTCACACATTCCTTACAAGTGAGGATGGGGGGACGCGGGAGGGACGCGCTGTGAGGCAGGGCCGGCAGCCACAGTGCKYGTGCAGCCTCCGGCCGCAGCTCCASCAGCTCCASCAGCTCCAGCAGCTGCTGGGAACCCACACGCACACAGAAYGCGAAAGGCTGGAGCACAAGCGAAAAGAACAAGTAAGATACAAAATGGGACAGAAAATGGAGCTAAAATACATGTGCAGGTCAACCACTTGAACAAGTGTTAGCTGAAAAACAGACCTCTCTAATGCAATGTCCTCCAGTCATTCCACTCACATGAAAAAGTTTGCTACAAAGAACAAGATAACAAGAGACAACTTTTAGAAATCCACCGAGGTCACACGCTTTGGGAGCCACCTCTTGCCAGGAACTAGCACACAAGCTGAAGCATAAGAAGTTCYGTCTCCAGGTGAGGAGCAACTTCTTTACTGTTAGCAGTGGAACAGTGGAACAGGCTGCCCAGGGAGGTTGTGGAGTCTCCTTCTCTGGAGGTCTTCAAAACCCGCCTGGATGCCRCCCTGTGCCACATGCTGTAGGTGTGCCTGCTTGAGCAGGAAGGTTGGACTAGATGATCTGTAGAGGTCCCTTCCAACCTTAAAWATTCTGTGAATCTGTGAACTGCATGAACTGCTTTAGCCAACACTTCGAAACGAGGCAGATGAGATCTGAAGGAAAGAGCCATCTCAGAAAGATGGTCACAGCCTAGCAGATGGTGAAGGAGAGGCAGCAATCAAGGAAAATGAAGAAATCTTGAAAGAAAATGCCTCTCCTAAAATTATTAGAGAAAGATGTTTTTGTAATTGCACATTTAAGAAGGTACTTAACAGGATCATCTACAGAATACTGTGCATACTTTCTACTGTCTTCAAGAGCTCCCTCTTGATAGGAAGGAAAAACAAAACCAAAAACAAAACAAAACAAAAAATATCAGATGAGTTTTAATACAACCAAAGGAAAAAAAAAATCCCAATAAAAATGCCTGTTTTCCTGCTTCAGGCATGTATTTGAGGCTACATGATAAGGGGTTCAACAGAAGTTCCTCATTTCGAAGCTTTCTCATCAGGGCAGTAACGGAGGGGCTGTGCTGCATCTCGCTGCTGTGATGTACATCATCACTTTAGCTCTAGCCTCTGAGAAGCTACTTACACTGCAGTACAACCTGCACGAGGGGAAATATTCCCAAGCGGAAGGCAACCTAGTACAACCCAAGATGATCAGAACCATCCTTGGGTTCTGTGTGATTCGCTGCAATCCCCAAAGCAGACGTTCTACCTCCCGAGAAGAACTGGCAGAAGGGAAAGCGTGTCCACATCTTGCTGCTCCAGTGCAAAGAGGCGCCAGGCGGCGAGTCACTGGAGCAACCCCCCCTGCCCCGGCAGTTCACGGTGCCGAGATCTGCTCTGCACTAAGCAGTACCCAGAGCCCTGCACGGTGTCACCAACTTCTCAGTCGGAGCAGCTGCGCTCCCGAGCAAGACTCCCTAGTGTTTGCTGCGTGGATTGAACTAACTTCACTGAAAAACCTTCCCCTTTGCTCATCAAGACCAAGAAAAACAGTTAAGCAATTGATGTTGCAAGGCTCTGCTGGGGATTCTGTGTTGTAACACCTTGGAGAAGGAGGCAGAAAAGAATTGGCCAACAYTGCTAACGAGTCCTGCTTGCTGTCGCTCCCAAGCCCTTTGGAAACAACTGCAAGAAACAGCTGATTACATCAGACACAGTCAGCACAGGAGAGCTTGGCAAGTGCTGAAGCTAAGCTTGCATGAAGACACGTGGATGCAGCTCAACAAAACTGCCTGTTCTCTTGTAATTACTCCTGGTGATCCTTGCATAAGTGAGTGGTGCAAGAGAATGGTGAGAATCCAGAGGGGGGAAAAAAAAAAAACACCAAAACACTGATAGTCTATTGAAGATGTTAGCCCTGCTCCTGTAGCAAGGAAAAAAAGTAAAATGCAACTAACAACTGATATAAAATAAGGCAGGAATGGCAACACTATCATGACATCATAGCACGAATTTAGCCAAAAGCGTGCAGCCCTTTTAAAAGCAGGTGACGTTTTTTAGCCAGCAAATTTTCAAGACAAAAGTAATGACAGTGATTAGAGCTGAAACAAGCAACAAAGAAATCTGCATGGGATGTGCTATGTACAAGAGCATTTTGAACATCCAAGGAAAGAGGATCAGCTCCTCTTTATTTCCATGTAGATGCCAAAATGAGAACAAGTCAAGAATGAAGGAAATTACTTGATATATTTGATAGTCCATCTGTTATATTCCTTGTAGATCACAAAGCCAAAAACCTCCATTAGGACTTAGAATAGGCGAGTGTTTTATAACTAATAACATTATATGGGGTTCTACCTGCTATKTAAGAGGCACATCTTACTTTCCAGACTTTAATTTAACCTCCTATCAGAATCAGAGGAATTACTTTTCATCTCCTATACAGCATTATATAAAACATCAGGAACTTAAGTGTCTTTATTTTATTATTATTTTTTTTTTAATATGCCATTTTCTTCAGCACAAGGTTCTGGTCACTGGAAATGACAGAAAAATGCCCTAATTGTGCAGTGAATAAATGACGTGTCTCCACCACAAAGTAACTTAGAAAAAAAAAACTGCTTAAAGTTTTTAAAAAGCATTAAAAATACTGTATTATTGGCTTGATACTATTCCACCAACAGGTTGTCTTCTTATGGATTGGGTCCCCTTCTGTTTATGAATAACGCGCATGTCTGAGTTCAATTTTGGGTTGCTCTTTCCCAACAAATTCCGGCCTTGTTCAGCGTGCGCGTACAAACACACACACACACACTCTCACACACACACACACACACACACACACAGACACACACACTGTGCTACACTTGCTGCCTAAGTAGCAACTCTGTGTTTTGTGAGAGCTTCACAGTTTGGCTCCACACCTGGTTTATTCCACATTGTTTTCAGAACCCATTGATATTCTGCTCAGAGCCTCTTCTAACACGACCAGATTATGTCAGTATCTATCTGATCGCTTCCCAAGAATTAACTGATTTTGCAGCAATGCATTTTGCAGATGCTGTACTTCCATATCCCCATTTTACGTGATGGGAAATTGAGACACAGAAAGATTAGCATTAAATAATTCCTGTAAATTTGACTGCTCATTCAGAGACATATAAAACCATCTTTTTCAGAGACTGCTCCATGCTCAAGGTGCAGGCCCACTGATCTCACCTGTGCCTGTGCAAGTTCTCCATTTCTACCAGCCAGACTGAGCTCCTCAAGAAGGACATCACAAAATGAGGAATATGTAAATTACTGATTGCTTTTGGAAAAAAAAAATTATTTTAACTTACTTGCTCCTCCTCAGATGGAAGGCAGTTACTGGCAAAACAAAAGCCTCTGGTTCTCTAGAGCAGCACTCATCTGCACATGAAGTTCTTCTCTCTTTGCAAAGTTTCTGTCATTATTTGCTATGCATTTTCCAATTTCTTCAACAAATGAGGCAAGTACCCTAGAGATAATGATCTCCTTAGGAAAACAACATAGGGTTCCAGAAGGAATCCAATGGAAAGCAACATTGTGTGAAGTAACGGTGAGAGCCTAATGCCCGTATACAAGAATGTCAACTTGCAAAGGCAATTTATGAGGTTCCTAAGAAAATTACTAGAAACAAAGAAAGAAACAACCTGATTGATAAAATAGAAATCTTTAATCATAATCAAGGTCAGCTCCAGAGCTGGAGGGTATATTCACATCACACTACTAGTCATTTCACGTTGTATGGAAACCAGAACCATTAATAAGTTATCCTTTCCTTTACGGGTATCTCTACAGAGAGGTTGCAAAATACTTGTTGCCACTAGATTTTACAAGTATTTCTTGAGATCAGGAAAATGGTAGATTTCAAGAATCTTGTGTTCCAAGCAGGGATCTGTATCTGCCCACACCCTAACACATTACAGTAAAAAAGTGTGGAACACAGTTTCACCAAGGGACTGAGTTAAGTTTCCTGCAAACGAAATCTGCTAAGTGAGAGGTTCAGTCTGCAGCGGGAGCGCTTCTGAGCAGCAGCTCCAGTTCTTTCACACTGCTTTGGCAAAGCAAGGCTTTTATTTTGTCAGTAATCGGTGTTCTTTCAGAAAGTGAGATTATTTTTGCTTTTCATCCGTAGCTCTTACGATGCTGAATAGCTGCCACTAATTTGTTTTGTAGCAGGGACCAGCTTTTCATCACGACCAACCCTGTGTCCACAAAATCTGCATGAGCATTTACTGTACACACAGAGAGGCACGCGAACAGGCACCCAGGCACAGCTACCCAATCTGTATGCAAAGATGCTGGTTTCCAGGGCAGACAGTTTCCATTACAGCATTACAGGTAAAAATGTACATTCAAATGAGCATCATTTTTTACTTATATTTATACGATAATGAATAATGGGACCTAAAGTTTCTATAATAAAATGTGAACCTGTCAGCACAGTTCAGTGCTAATGGACAGCTCTGGGATGCAAGCTGACTGTAAGAACCATCAAGAGATGATGATACAGGGATATACAGGACAATACAGATATTCATCAGCTACCACTTTTCTTAACTCCCGCTTTGTGATCAAATTTATTTTGCTTATAATATGTCCATGCTTGGCATACCAGATGTTCTCATGCAGCATATAATAAAAAACCTCTCTGGGATATTTCAGCTGGGATTTCATATCATACTGAAGGCATGCATCAGTCACTGGCTTCCCTTGGGAGTTTATCCTTTATTTCTTAGCTCTCCGTATCCCAAAATATTTTGGAACTGTAAGTTTGGAATCACTTTTTAAAATCTCAAAATTAAAATCTCAAAATTATTGTGAAAAGTGTGGCTTAAGAACAACTAGAATTACCTTCATGAGGATTTGGCGAGGCTGCTCTGGCAAACACTGGTATTTTAAAATGTGCCAGCCCGGGCTCGGTTTGTACTTCTCACGTTTCAGATATACTGTCAAAAATAAATAAATAAATAAATAAATAAATAAATAAATAAGCCAACCAACCAACCAACCAACGTTACAGCAAGTTAAGCGCTGCAAGATGGATCCAGGGAGGCCGAGGGCGGCCCCTGCGCGCTGCCCGGGCTCTGGGCGGCGCCGCGGCCGTTAACGGCCGCCGCGGCCCGCGCTCGCCTCAGCGCGGCGGCGCCAGGCGCCGCCCGGGGCCGCCCCGCCGCTCTTGCGGCCGCCGCCGTTGCGGCCGCCGCCGCGCCCAGGCCCGGCCCCCCGCCCTGTCCCGCGGCCGGGTCGGGCCGGGGCAGCTCCCGCCGCGACGCCGCGCTCTGCCCAGCCGTTTTCCGCGGAGCGACACACAAAAAAACAATGAAAYTAAAAAGGCGGGCACTTACCAGGAGTGGGGTTCGAACCCACGCGGACATACGTCCATTGGATCTTAAGTCCAACGCCTTAACCACTCGGCCATCCTGGTGCACATACAGGAACCGCACGCGGCCGCGCCTACAAGCGGCGCCGCGCGGCCGCCCCCGGGGCCCCCCCGTCCCCCGCGGCCGCGCGGAGCGGCGCGGAGCGGCGCGGGCCGCAGCCCCGGCCCCCACACGGGGCCCGCGCGGAGACGGGAGCCGGCGGCGCCACCGCTGCGCCCGGCGCGGCCCAAGCGGCCTCCGCGGAGCCGCCGGGAGCCGCGGCCGCGGGGCGCGCGTTTTAACGCGTTAAAACTGCGCGCCTGCCTCTTCCCCGCGCTGCTGCGCGGGAAGTGCGCGCTGAGCGGGGAGATGAGCGCTGCGCCCTGACGTGCCGCTCCTGCCTATCCGCTCCTTGAGGATATATGTTCCCTTCCCAACAGGAGGAAAATGAAACCACCAAGTGCGAGCTTGCTAGTTCTGCTTTGAGGACTAGTGGAGCTAGGCCAGGCTCTGAGGCGTCCGTCCCCTCGCATTCGCCTGCTGCCACCTTAGGGGCTCCCTGGGAAGCAGCTGCTTCCTTCTGGAGCAGGCCGTGGTCCTTCCCAAGTCCTCCGTACGGCGGGGGGGGGTGGGGTGGATATTTAATATTGCAGCAGGGGATCAACTGCATAAGATGTTGAGGGCTCTCCTGGAGAAGGGAAGGTTTTCCTAGGAGGAAAACAGAGCAGAATGTAATGTTTCAATTAAGGGAAACTTCCCAGCAGCAAGAAGAGTGTAGGCCTGGAATGCATTATCCAAGGACACTGTGGAATCTGGCCTACATGGGGGTTTTAAGAACAAGTTGTTGTAGTTGTGCATCTCCACGGGGTGGTCTTGGCACGCGGGCCCTGCCACAGAATTGACCAAGGGCCAAAGGAAGAAAACAAGAAAACCCTCATAGTTCTGCTGGCTTTAACTCAACTATCATAAAACGCTATGTAATGTGATAGGAAAATAGCAGAAGGTAGATCCGTGACTGCCTCTTCGCGTGTTAGAACGAAAGGAATAAATTGACATGGCTCCATGTGAAAATCACGTTACATATGTGATAGATTAGCTGTGCTCACCACATACATCTATTAAATGACTGTTTCCTTTCTTAATCATACGTTTAATCATACATATAAATGTATGATTTATATCATACATATAAATCATACATATACATATGTATGTTTAATCATACATACATATGTATGTTTAATCATACATATAAATACAACCATGTGTAGCTCTTTCCTCTGTCAAACCACTGTCTGCTCTGGTTCAAAAATCAAGAGAATCTATTTTGCTTTCAATGAACTGTAAAATACAGCTCCAGTTGTGCTTTTCAGAAGGCAATATCCATAATGTAGGCTGTCCTCCTCAGATTTGATCACTAACAGTTTGGCTTCTCAACTTGGCTTCTCAATTCAGTCYAACCCCAGGTTTTCAGCTCTAAAATTCTGCAGTACCTATGACTGAAAGCAAGTGCTTTACCTTTACTTCAAGAATTTTCCGTAAGACATTAGCCAGCAAAATGTCCAGTCGATGTGTCTGCAGCCTAACTCCTCAAGACCCTAATCCCCCCCTAACTCTGCAGCCTAAATTCCCTCAACAGAAGTTCCATTTCTGTAAAATAACTCCAATGTTTCAAAGGGAAAGTAATAACCATATGCATATCCACATATGCAGGCAGCTCAACCCTATGTACCAACAATTATGCTTCGTAATAGGGGACTTTTGCTCTTCATATWTAAGCAATGCTCTCCTGCGTTTCAGGGAGCAGCCTATGTCTGGTTGTCAGTTCTCCTTTCCTATTGTCAAAAAGATTTTTTTACGAAGCTTCTGCTGCTTTAAGTAGGAAACAACAGCAGCAGCAGCAGCCCTAAAAGCTACTGGTGCCCCTCTCATGTCTCAGTGACTCCCCTATTCAAATCCAGCTACATGATTTGTAACAACACGGCCTGGAAAACTGTCCATACAATATGCTCCTTGCCTCTCCTTTGGAATAGTGTTGACTTTAAAAGACTGCCTTCCTTAGCAGCTGCCGTTCTGCTGCTGCTTCTATTAGTGTGTAAATGTGTTATCAAGCTGCTTTTATCATCTTTTTCCACTCATCCTGTGTGCACTCTTTTTTTCAAAAATAGTGTGATCTTTTTTTTAGAAAAAAAAAAAGCCTGTATAACTGTGACTAGGCAAGTTCACAAACTAGTAAAACTTGAGTTCTTACACAACTCAACAAAAAAACCCCACCACATTAAGCAATGAACACATGCTTACAATGAAGAGAATGGTTTCTTTAGTTACTGAGGTCATTTTCCAAATATCTCTACTTTAAAATGGGACTGAAAAAATGTTTTAAAAGCTGGTATTTCAATGATTCTTAGATCTAGTTATGTCCTCACAGCCACAGCCTAAAGAGACAGGGCCTCTAATTATATTTTTCCTCATACTTCCACTCTCTCCATGATTTGAATATATGCTTCACAYTTCTAATAATAAAATAGTTATGATTTTGGAGAACTTCAAGAGTAAATTTGCTTTTTTTTTTCATAGTAGAGAATCAGGATATATGAAAATGTTTTTTACAGGAAAAAAACACAATAAGCTTGTCTCAATGTGCAGTACACTTGACTGACTGTGGCACTAAATGCTAGGAGAACATATTCTTCAGGCACTGTCTAACCTCCTTTCACCAACTTAACAATTTACTCCTGTAGCTTTTAAATTAAACTCACAGTGTACAACACTGCATTTTAGATTTTTATTATTAAATATTTTTTGCACATATGTATGTCTACAAATGCCTTAAAAAAACAAACAACAACAGCAAGAAATACAAATCTTTATCAAAAGCATTGGTGAGTGCCAAGAAAAAACAGACCAAATAAAATACAGAGTTTATTTCTCTTCGATTTATGCCCATATTCTGACCCTCGGAGGTGTAGGATATTTCTCTTCAAATGGCAGTACCCATGGAGTAAAATGACTTGACTTCTTCAGTAACCCCGCAGGAGTAGTAATAGTTTTAGCTGAGAACTCTCCTTCATTCCGCTTCAAGCAGGGATTCTGTTTGAGAGGTCCGCAAGCAAGTGTAATACCRATGTCATTAGGACATCATTCAATATCAAAATATCTTCTAGTTTAGAAGATCGCTGTTTTTCTCATTCTTCCATGTTATCACAGACAGGTGCTTTGACTAAAGAGGCTTGCACTTTCTGCAAAGTAGTCCTATTATTGGTGTGAAAAGGCCTGTCTGGCAAAGAAGCATTTCCCACTAGGATATGAAAGCTTGGAAGTTGAAATGATTTCACTGTTTTGTCACATTAATATAAATAATAAAAAATGWTGTTTAAAAAAAAAATATAAAACTAGTGTGCAGTAGACCAAAAGGGCAAAGTTTAATTGTGATTGATGCAGGGAGACGGCTATGCACACCTCCCAAGTAAAACTCCCAAATACAAAATATTTGAAATGTTTAAATATATTTATTAAAATACATACATAGAGGATCAGGGTTCAAATAAATGTCACTAACTTTTGAAAAAATGTCCTGCATTAATTCAAAGGATAGCGACAGATCACAGCGTATCAGGAAGCCGCCTAGAAATACTGTGGTTGGAGAAACTCCAGAAATAGGAGCTAAAATGACTCCCAAGAGCTGACAGATACATGTTACATCGACAAAGCTCGGTGGTTTCTAGGACTGCAAATACTTTCTCTTTCCTCCTTACATTCCAAACATACTCTGGCCAGGCTCCCCTTGGAGGAAAAGAAGTATTTAAGCTTGCAAAAAAAGACTGAAATAGCATTAAATGTTGTTGCCTTTCTTCTTCAGGTATACTGAAGAGACATGCCTGTTTTCTTTCACACATGGAGATTTCCCAGCAATGGGCAAAAAAACTTGTTTTATTGTACACCAGTGAAACTGATTGATAATACACGGAATCCTTCACATTATTTTAAATATATAAAAATATTAAATCAATGCATATAAAAACAAAAGTATACTGGTGGGGTAATCCACTAAACTGCAAGCATTAATGTGCCAGCAGAAAAGACTCCAAACTGTTGGACATTTACACGTGCTTCTGCAGAAGGTACTGCCAGCATCTCTCCTGGCTGAAGTGCTACTCAGCAGAAAAAAGTATGAGGAGCTTAATGGCTTGGCAGTTTTGAAGTTAAGGCTATCAGACAGTGGCTCATTTAAGAAAGCTTCAGTGAGATGGCACAATTTTGCGGTGCTTCCAGCAAGGTTGCGGCCATGAAAAATAGAGAAAATCAATCACGCACAAGCAGAACAAAAGCTACTTACGATTTAACTTGCAGTTTACTCTTGTTAAGGCCAGTACAAGCTGAAAATCAAGGTGAAATTGAAACTAGTTTGTGTCTTCTGCTAAACTAATAGGCTAAATATTTTGTTAAATGAACAGCGCAAAATCTGTTGCAGTATTTGCATAACACAAGCTCCAAACTGGTTCAAATTCAAAACTTCAGATTCTGTRGGGTACTGTGTAGGTCTGCTCTGCCTGCAGGCTCACTGTGACAAATAAGTATAAAGTTATTGCTACGGATTTTGTTATTTTCCCTGAGCCAAGCCCATCGTTCATTCTTCTTTATTGTCCATGTGAAACAAGTATCATTGCACAGKGGTGTTCTAAGTACTTGCGCCGCTAGTTATGCCAACAGAATACATCTCAAATAAAAAAAGAACCATTTTATCAACATTTCGAGTAGCCCGTATGTAAAAGTGCCTCTGGCACATTCAAGAAAAAGGCCACAAGAAAAGAGAAAACCGCCCAGCACACGGTGAGCCCTCACAGTTCTGGGGGCTGTCATTAAAGGAGACTTGCTGGGAAGGTTTTGAGGACATTCAGGTCAGCGCGCGACAGCTTCAGCAGGACCATCACCTTCTGCAACACGACAAGCAGCAGCAGAGGATGGTTCTAAGAGGGTGTTTCCTTCGGTACTCTAGAGCTTTCTTCACTTGGTCTTTAGCTTCCCCTACGTAGTCCTCAACGTTTTGCATATTGAGCTCAATGATGTCAAAGGTGTCTGACTGTTCCTCCACTAGCAGGGCCACCTGCAAGAAGAGCTCGTGGACTTCCCTGATGCGACCTTCCAGCTTCACCAGCTCTTTATGCCGCGTCTCGATCTCGTTCAGGGCTGAGCGAGTCCCCTTAACATCCGACAGGAGGTTCTCGGAGAAGACATCCCACTTGCCTTGCTCGATCATCTCCTCGATCTGGTTGCCAGAAACGTCCTTGCCCATAATCTCGAGCTGCCGCTGAATGCGAATCTTGCAGTTCTCCCGCTGCCTCATCTCCGTGGCGTTGTACTCGAACATGGCCTCCTGGAAGGCGTGCATGATGTCCACATAGTGGCTCTTTGCTACCCTGGCAATGACGGAGGAGGCACCGTATTTTGTCACAGCGTCGTCGCTGAAATCTCTCATTATTTGCARTTTCCTATGGATGCCTTCTCCACGRGCCTTGATGTCTCTGGCAATGCTACTAGTATCCCGTTTGATGCTACTGAGACTGCGCATGGAAGTAAGGAAGCGGCTGTTCTGTTTCCTGAGCCTCTTGACATCCTCTTTCAGGTGGCTGTTTTCTGTCCGGATGCTCTGTATGTCTTTATGAAGAGCTGCCAAGGCATAATCGGTCTCATASAGCAGCGTGTCACGGGGTGCATTTTCATCATCCTCCCCGGGAGCAAAATGCTCATTATGCAGCCTGGCAAGCTCGTGCAGCTCATTCAGCCGGTCTTTCATCCTGCCTGTAAAAGGGGAAATACAAAAGGAGGGAAAAGGTAAATAAAACACTGGCTTACAGAGTGCAAAAGTTGATAGCACATCCCACATGACAAAAAAAAAAAAAAAAAAAAAAAAAAAAAAAAAAAAAAAATCCAGGTCTTAAATTTGTTCACAATATTTCACTGAGTGATGAATCTCAGATCAAAAACTGTGGCACTAGAGAACCCTTCTGGAAATTACAGTGCAAAACTGTAATTTAGTGCAACTTTTAAAATCTTTAAAAATGCAAGACAGAAGACAACCAATGCTGGAAACAAAAAACAAATTAGTAAGACAATGTACAACCCCTAAAAACCTCCAATCTTTTACTTGGAGGGTAAAAAAAAAATCCACAGAGCAAATGATGGGAAGCATTCAGTTATCCATGCAGCCAGCTCTTCATTACATCAGCTACTCCAAACTACAGGGCCTTTCATTCTAAGCTTGCTTTTCCTAGAAGAAGGTTAGAGGTTTCTCAGACTCTCAGAAGCAACATTTGCCAATGTAGTTTGGAAAGAAAACTTTCAAGGAGTGGTGTGTGGAAAGCAGTAAGTATTGCTAATAAATAGTATTTTCTGAAAAACAAACAAGTTTAAGGTCCTCAGATACTATCATTCATCACAGTGCACGAGACATCAAGCAAAGAAAAAAAAAATACCCCAAACCAAAAAAAAACACCCTAACAGCAGCATTTTGTAAGTAAAGTGACCATTTTTATAGCACAGAAATACCCTGCTGAAGGAAAAAAGAACCACAGTTGTTACAGAAGAAGCTGTGTTTTCTGTGTTTGCCTCACACATACTGCATTACAGATTTCACTGCAACAGCAACAAATTGAATCATCTGCACAGAGCAGTTACATGGTAATGRAACATACATCTCCTTTAAGCATGCTGCTTACTTGAAACTCTAGACTTAAAATCTCTATGGAAAGTGGAATCTGAAAACTCCAGTAAGAATCTTTCATGAAGCGTTACAGCAAGCAGGAAGCTGAAAATTTCCCATTGCAAAACCTGTATATCCCATGACACCATTTAAATTATTAAGAGACCTAAATTAAGGAGCAGCATCAATCATGACATCACCTGAATCTCTAGAAGATTCATTTGTGTTTTTCAAGGAATTCACAAGCCCTTACAGACATGTTATCCACTGTGAATGCATCCATTCCAGGTTAAGAAGATCCTACATGAACACAGCCAGAATACCTAGATCCAGTGTGAAAGCAGAATGCAAACTTATGATCTGTTTCATGGAACTGATGGAGGTATTAAAAGAGGTTGTGTAAGAGACAGAAAAAAAAAATTCCATCACAGACAGAGTGTCTTGGGCTGGCATAGTTAAACAGTTAAACGATCACCTTTATACTTGTGCAAAAAGTGCATTTTAACTTTATCCAGCAACTTTCCAAGTAATACAAGCCAAGAAAGTTCATTAATATCCTGAGAGAAGAAAAATTATGTGGGAACGTATACATGTAAAATACATCAGTTTGACTTTAAACTGTAAGCCACACAGATGCAACACAGATGTAATACAGAGAAAGCATCAGAAAATGTAGAGTTTTCCACCTTCATTAATAAAAATCAAGATTCTTGTGCTTTGGGCTACAAGAGTACCAAGATGAAAATATATCATCCGATCCATAAAGGAACCACAAATGTAGGGGCAGTGCCAAGGACAGGTGTGCCTGACTTTAAAACACACAGCCTACCTAGAGGCACTGCTGCAAGAGTGTCTACCCTTCGTGTCTGGAATAACATGGTGGGACATGTTCTAGAAGACTTGGAAGGAAAGGAATAGGCATCCAACCATCTCAGGATTGTTTAGGTCTCTCCTGGTCACCAACTGCTTCTCTGGTGCTTTTCACATGAAATGTAGATGTGGCTCTGAAAACCTGGACTGGTTCCTAGTCTGACTGCATTCCTCACCCCCACTGGCTTCCTGGCAGCTTATGCTCTTCCCATGGAAATGCCAAGTGTTGTGTTCAGCACTTTATTCTTTTTATGTTTTGCATCAACACTTGGAAACAGCAACCTGTATTTATGATGACCAAACCTTAAGATGACAATCCGGAGCAGCACAGTGCCATTCATGGAGCACTAAATCATTTCAAAACAGTGTGTGTGCAGGACTGTTACCTCAGTTCTCCCAAGTCCCCAGACTTGAGGGAAAACACATGTCATCAGACACCCTAAAAAAATCTCCATGAAGAACAGTCTGACAACTGTCTCATCAGTAATCCCATTTTACTTTTGTGCTTGACAAAAGTGTTATCCTTCCTCTCTGGAAAAAATGAAGGAAGAATGTTTTGATCTAAGAGGTATGACATTGTTTCTTGTTGCTCCACGCTTCAGGGAATATAGCCATCTAAAACTTCCAATAATTTTAATTCAAAGATGCTCTCAAGTATGTATAAAATTTATAAATAAGTTTTTTATATATATATGTTTTATATATATATATATGTTTTGTATATAAAACTTATACAGAGAATTTGGTATAAATGTAGTAAATCATTTTTGCATGTTCAATATTTAAGCAAGAGCTCCCGGACAAGAGTGGGGAAAGTTTATATTTAAACAGAAAACCATGCTGAGTGAAAACTCCTGCACAGTAAGGAGGAGGAACTTCTTCACTGTGAGGGTACCAGAGCCCTGGCACAGGTCGCCCAGGGAGGCTGTGGAGTCTCCTTCTCTGGAGATCTTCCAAACCCGCCTGGATGCCGCCCTGTGCCCTGTGCTCTGGGTGTCCCTGCTGGAGCAGGGGCGTTGGACTAGGTGATCTCTAGAGGTCCCTTCCAACCTTAACCACTCTGTGATTCTGTGGTTCTGTAACCTCAGTTTTGCAGGAAAATATCTATACTTCCATTCCTCTATGCACAGAAGAGTAACCTTGTGATTTATCTTCCTCATCCACAACTATTTTAAGGTGCTAGATAAACAGATATAGAGAAGCAAACACAGTAAATCACAGAATGAAAAGATCATTTCTGTAGAAAGTTAATGTGTATACTAATTCTGTAAAATCCCTCTAATATTTTTTAATGTAGCATGAATATTAAAAGATCAAGTGCTAAAAGGACTGTAAGGAACAGCCAAGTGTAGTCTCAGATTGCACTGTCCTGCTGGCTGCACGCTGGAATATGATGCAGTTGAACCCTGGCCTACGTACTGCCACTGCCTCCAAGTCTCTGCCTATGCTCTATATGTGCTCCATAAAAGCTGCACACGTAAAATTTAGTATTTGTCTTTCAGTTTATGGGCAGACATCTCATTCCCTATGTTACTACTACTTGTTTCTTCAGGGCTTTCTCCAGTGATATTCTTGGAATGCTTCATAAACTCTGAAAAATCCTTTGGAGCAAGGCAGTGCTAACAGCCCGCTTTACAGACAGGTATTTCGGGAAGGAATGACTGAGGATAAAAGTATTCCTCTTGATGAGTTATGATGACAACTTCAGACACGTGCAGCCCAGTCCTTTGTGTTGTGTAGGTCCAGAAGCAGCTCTGTCCCTGCTGCAGGCCACCAGCGCGGTGCTAGGCAAGAACCCAAAGGTAGGAACTGGACATCAACACATGAGCACACGAACCCAGGCAACCTGTGACATGCTTGGCTCTAATGATGCACACAGCTGTGCCCAGGAGCTCGGGCACTCGCTCAGGGAGCTTTTTGTAAGCCACCYCTTCCATTCTTACTGAGTCTGTCCCCTTCTGTTTCTGAAGTGCGTCCCCAAGCCTCCTCCCCATCCTTGTCTTCACCTTTTCAAGTAAGACGCTCTTCCTTACGTACAGACRGTGCCTGGACAGAAGGGAGAACAGGAGGAAGAGAATGACTTTCTACATGTACTTCAGCACTGTATCAGGCCACAGATCACAAATTGCAGAGTAGACTTATTCAGCTTCATGCTAGGGCACGTTCAGCTGTTCTCTAGGTTGGAATTTGCAGTACTTGGGCAAAGCACGAGACCTGTGAGGGAACAGAACATGTTTAGCATTCAACCTGCTGACAACACATTTTGCTCAAGGAACATGTTAAACTTAAATTGGGCATTTGCAAAAGCTTAAATTTTTGCAAAACTTTGCTAAATTTTCATGTAGAAAAGAAACTTAAATCAAATACAATATCAATACAGCAGTCTTYTGCATTTCAAATTCCTGTTTCAAATAAAAAAGGAAATATATTTACCCAAGGATAAGAAACTTCTGGGCATTCCCAGAGTCTGCAAAATACACACCAAAAGAAATAAACAAACAGCGATGGCAAAGCAGGTGTGACCAGGCAGCTGAAAAAAAAAATCAGCTTAATTGCTGTGTATTTGCCAAAATCGATCTCCTTTATTACATGTTGCTGTCAGTCAGGCAAGTTTAATTACATTTATTTACATGTTGAAAAWGCCACTGGCATTAAAGCAGCAGTATATTAGTGCATAAGACATGGCCCTGCTAGGAAGAGGCTCATTCCTGAAAGCCCGTGGCACTGCCCTTGCTAACACGGGGCCTGCACCCCGTGGTACAACCCAGGCCCACTCACTGAGAAGCCACTTGGTAGAAAAGGAGCTGGGGCTGCTGGTGGCCACCAAGGTCACCAGCAAGGGGCCTGCGTGGCAATGGCGGCCTGGGCTGCTGTGGGGAGYGCGGGGCTGGCCGTCGGAGAGCAGGGATTCCCTCTGCTCCACACRGCGCTGTGGGGAGCGCGGAGCTGGCTGGCGGAGAGCAGGGATTCCTGCTGGCCCAGGGACACTGGGCCACGTGTCCAGCCAAGGCCACCAGGCTGGAAACTCAACGCTCAAGGGAGGCCTCGTTGCTCCCTGCAGCTACTGAATGTGAGGGCATAGGCTCTTCTTGGGCTCTTCTCAGTGACAGCATGAGGGGCAATGGACCCAAGGGGAACAAGAAAAAATCAGACTAAACCGGTGGGAAAGCAAAYGAACAAAGACACCTTTTATGAACACTAGAACAGAGAAGCATCGGGACCTGCATCTTCAGATATAGTCAGAAATCAACTGGACATAGCCCTTAGCAAGCTGATCCAACGGGATGTGCTTTAAAGAGTTTGTTGKACCAGATGATTTCCACATATCCCTTCCAGTCTAAGTTATTCTATGAATCAGCCTTAGGTTAAAATTCTGATGACTGAAACATAAGAGCTATACACATTTAACTGCTTGCACAAGGTTATTTAAGATGCGTCTCTCACATTACAATTTCAGGGCACCAGTTACTCTATATTCTGCAATAACAGCCTGGAGAGCATAAATCTCTTAATTGTGAGAGTGTGTGTTTTAATAGGCTAGCTGTCAGTTTGACTTTCTTCTACTGTGGATATTTTGGATATTCGAACTGGATATTCGAACTGTTTTTTAGCTACATAAAATCTTTGTAAAAATCAAGTTTCTTATGCAGTCCCTCATTGTGTGCACATACCTATGTGCCAAAAAGACAGGCTAGGTCATGACTACAAGGATTACAACTTCGAAGTCAGATACCCACCAAGCATAGCCAGCTGAGGACATGCTCAGCACACCTGGCTTCATGTTGGCATGCCACTTCTTRGCATTAATCACCACCATGAATATAACTTTTCTAGGATGCTGGATATGGATGAAGAAATCCTGCTGCAGTAAGACTGCAGCCACACACACTTCCATGACATACCTAACTTCAGACAAAAAAAAGAACGCTATTTTGAAAGTCAAAAATCTCAAAATACAGGTAAAAAAAAMCCCAAAATTCAAAGAGCCTCACAAAGAGAAGTCCAGAACTCCTGTAATATAAAATGCCTGACCAAACCTTTGCAGTAATATGTCTAACCTGGCTGACCTTTGCAGTAATAGGATTTAGCAAAAGGACGTGCTATGTTTTGCATCCTGTTATCCGAGTAGAACTACCTTATTTCCAGTTGCCCATCTAGTTGCCCCCCTACATTTGTTTCAACATTGGCATGTATATATCCCTTTCGCTGAGTCAGGGGACAAAAAGCCCCCGGACAGGCTGGGGTTTTCATGGCAGCATCCACATTTCTATCCCCAGCAGCAGGGAAGGAAGCCAGTACATGTTTCTTCTTAGAGCCTTCCTCTAAGGCAGTTGTTCTTCTGTTACCAACCTGTCAAGGAAGTCTAGGCAGCCAACTTCATTGCTTCATGCTCCTTGAGTAAGACCTCAGAAGAGGAAACTCATTTGAGCTGAAATGGTCTGTTTGGGGAACACAGGCTATTTCCCAACCAACCGGATGTCAGTAACTCATTTCTTTTCCCTGGAGGGAGTTCCCCTGTCCCACAGCGGGCCGAGGCGATACTCGCTCCGCTGGGAACCTCCTGGCTCACCTGGGCTAGTATCCTGTCTTTGGGTGACAGGTGCTATGAGTTGCACAGCACATGACAGATGTGACACTGAACAATGAGGAAACAACCTGCTCACGGGCAGGGTTACATCACGGCCAGCTGTATCAGCACATTCCAGAAGCCTCCCATACTGCACGGACCGCCAGGGCTGGCCGGCATTGACTCAGGTGGATTGACTGAGCGTAGCACACTCAGCTACAAGGCAAACCATGTGCTGCTGCTGAACAAAAGTTCCATTCATTAGTGGGAAAAAATAAGTGTTAAACACAACTGAGGCCTTTCATTGAAGAAATGGAGTCTCAGATTTACTTGCTACTCTCTAGCATCTTTCTGTTTTGGAAACAACTTTTTTTTTTTTTTTTTTTCAGATGGAATCATTTTGCCTGGTATCTATTTTCCGATAATTGATCAGATGATATTAAGTCGGAGAACTGACTGTTGTTTGCAGTAGGTTTTCCTCTTGACCAAGAAGGGTCTAATCTATTCTTCCAGCAGAACGATCATCATCTTTCCAAACAACTTTTTCCCCTTCATTCCTGGTGTTACTGTAGGATCGAATCCCTGAAGTTGCTTCTCTGTTTCTTGCTTCTCATCTACAAGATCTTTAGGAAACACCAGAAGTCATAATCTAGTGATTAGGACTCTGTGCCTTCTGAAGCTATTTTAAGATCATGTGTATATTCTGCTCCAATATTAACAACAGTGACAGAGATCAGCACATCAAGATCTTTTTCTAGCCTCACAGAAAGGAAGCTATAATTTTCTCTAGAGCTTCCTGTATTTATCAGTGTTTAAAAATATGTATTCAGTAGTGAAAAGATATCTGTTAACAGTGAAGCACCAGTTAGAAAACTACAGACATCTAGCAAAAAGAGACAAATGTATCTGAAGAATAGACATTACCCCCTTCATTTTGTAGTCGAGGCTTTTTGAAAACAAAAYGGTATTTTAAAAATAGATGAACATGTTTGTGATTGTATTTTACCAGAGGGAAAGAAAAAAATCCCACCATGGTTTTCATTCAGTGCTCTGGTATCTTACAAAGGGATGTGGAGCTTCTYGAGAGGGTCCAGCAGAAAGTGACAAAGATGATTAAGGGGCTGGGGCATCTGTCTTATGGAAAGACTAAGTGAGCTGGGCCTGTTTAGCCTGGAGAAGAGAAGGTCGAGTGGAGATCTGAGCAACACGTATAAGAACCTGAGGGGAGAATGTAGGAAGGAAGGGGCCAAGCTCTTCTCAGTGGTGACAGGACAAGGGGCAATGGGTACAAGTTGAAACACAGGCAGYTCCATCTCCATGTGAGAAGGAACTTCTTCACTGTGAGGGTGCCAGAGCCCTGGCACAGGCTGCCCAGGGAGGTTGTGGAGTCTCCTTCTCTGGAGATCTTCCAAACCCGCCTGGATGCCGCCCTGTGCCCCGTGCTCTGGGTGTCCCTGCTGGAGCAGGGGGTTGGACTAGGTGATCTCTAGAGGTCCCTTCCAACCTCAACCATCCTGTGATTCTGTATTGTAGGCTAACAGTGTATGAGTGTACTGTAGGCTAACAGCACATGCCGCCTTCCTGCTTCCTGTGATAGGCAAAATTGAAGTCTTCAGGTAAACCTGGCCTGGCTAGAGACGAGAGGCGCGTGCACTGGGCCTCGCCCRGCACACCAAAGGGTCTGCACACAGTCACACAGAGCCACCGAGCCGCACGACAAGGCGACAGCCAGCCGTGCATTTCTGGGCAATTCCCGCAGCCCCGGGTGCTATGAGTCATTCCCCGAGACCATCAGGCTGCGCACGCACACGCATGTGCTCCTACYGGGCTGCTCTGGGCGCAGGCACCAGCCAGTTAGTCACCACCTCGGCGTCCCCGGGACACACGGGCTCACCGAGGAGCCACGTACTGGCCCCACCTGTGTAACCGCTGCTGCTGGTACCTGACGGCATTTAAAAGTGATTAAGACGTTAAGGCATCTGAGTAGAAACATGAGGTTGCACCAGTCAGAAGCAACGTGCTCTACTGACGTTTTAAGTCAGCACAACAATATTAACTTCAGTAAATATCCACATATTTACAGCTCATAATATAGTGTTGCAGCCTGACATCTCTACTCAAAAAAAAAAAAAAAAAAAAAGGAGATTAAAAAGGGTTATTTTAATTGGTATTTAGGCAAGTGAATCGGGCCCTGTTCTAGGTTCTCCTGCAAAATCTGCACAACTGTAATAGGACCGAAACAGTTTCAATGGGGAGATAAGCTGCACAGCCACACGTGCCTGCCCACATCCTCAGCCCAGGGACACGGCAGCCACTGCAAGACRTTTTAGACAACTGCTCTGCACCTCTTTGCAGCGCGCTGCTGCACACACAGGGCTCAAGCCTTTCTTCCCATTTTCAGGAAGGAGGGGATTTGCTACTAGCACAGATATGGCACAAATGAAATACAGCAGAAAAACCT